TTGGCCAGCTGATTTGAAAAATGTTCCGGAGGGCTTGGCAGCCAAAGGGTTAAAGTGAACATGTTACTTTTTGTTCCATGGCTAAAACACAGTGTCCCATCACGTTTTATTAGTACTGGGTGTGACTATGAAATAATTTCCCCGTCTCTTGCCCCCCCATACTTACTATCGTTCTTCCTTTTCCTTTGCAGACAGCTGTAAGTTCCTGCATGACCGTTCAGATTACAAACATGGCTGGCAGCTGGAGCGAGAACTGGAGGAGGGCCGATACGGTGCTAATGGTGAGATATGTTTTGGATGTGGCTTACAGCTGTGATAGGTGCTCTTTTGTGGAAGGATATGGTGTGTTGGCGTGCTAGGTTCTTATACTGTACCCTAAAAACTGCAGCTTGAGGCCTGTCAGTCGATCTACATTGTTTTACACAGAAACACGGGACTGGAGGAGGGTTACCATCCTTGGTTCTTTTTCACTTATGTACTCTTCAGGATCCTTTATTGATGCCTGCTGCTGTAAGGTTTTTAAAGGAGAACCCCAGTACAACACTTTGGGGCTGATGAAGAAACATTCTTCCGAGCAATTAGCTGGGCGAATGCCATTTGCACAGCATTCCCGCCAGTAGTTGAAGCTGAAATTCCTATGCTTGTTGGCTCCATCTAGTGGTGGGAATGCCATGAACATTTATACATCAGCTCCTTTATGTTTGTATAATCTCCAGCCTATCTAACTTAACCTATTGGCAGTTCTGTCTGCTTCTGTTGCTGGTAGGGCTGCTAATAAGCTGATCAAAAACCAGACTCTGAATAATGTTCTATGTCTCCCCTGGTTCAAGGTAAAGCAGAACTAAACCGTCCTATCCCCCGAAGACGGCGCCATCCTAGCCTCTAGTTAGATTAGTAGTTGCCATGGTCCTGAACACATGACCATCTATGATGCCAGCTATTTGCTTTCAAGAATTATTGCATGTAATATTTGTGCCGCTGCCCCTGACCTAAAAGATCCCACCCTCGCCCTCAGCAGATCTATACTTACTGGGATCCGACGGCTGTTGCTCCCTTGTTTGTTGACATTGATCGCTGAAAGTCTGTAGCCGTCTCCCTCTTATGAGACATCCCCATAGATGTCTGTTAGGCTGTAATGTGCAGGTGCGGCCAGCAGAGGGAGCATTGCTGGATGTAAACCATAGCAGAACCTTGCCTGTTGGATCTTTGGTAAGTATGGATCTCCGAAGGGGGGAGGTTGGGATCAGTTAGCTCAGGGATGGGGACAAAAGGGATAAGTGTACCTTGTTTAATACTGCACTTATTCTTTGAGAAGCAAAGCACTTGTTACAGAATGTGAGGGCGCCATCATCTGCAATGTGCGTGTATTCCTGTCGTATTCATTTTCTTGTCTTTTACTGTTCAGATGAGGAGAACTATGAAGTGAGCAGCGATGAAGAGGACCTTCCCTTTAAATGTTACATATGCAAAAATGCCTTTAAGAACCCGATTGTAACCAAGTAAGTGACCCTTGGTAGAGTGCATACCGCCATATTACATAAGAGAATCCGTGAATCCCATAACTGATTTTTCCTCTCTCCATGGGTTCATTTCCCTATTGTGCCATATGACAAGGTATTTCAACCCTGTAACAGCTCAGTTGCCTGTGCCATTCTCTGTATGACTGAGTAGCACTTAGGTGCCTGGGCATAATGTATAAGTAGAACCAATATCATTTTATAAAGCTGAACTCTGGGTCAGTGGCTACATACACAGATGAAATACATAAAAGGGTTTCATTTACCTGCCAAAGGATTTCTATTACTGTCCATTCAGTCCTGACACTTACTTAGTATTGACACACAGCCCTGTCTGTCAGGGAAGGGAATCTGGTCTATCTCTGCTGTAGTTAGGTAACACTTACAGGTCTTGCCCCTCCCCCAGCCTATGAATGGACAGTGAAAAGAGAAGCAGAAGACTGATAAGCTCCTCTCTCTGTCACTTTATTGGCATTTCACTTGTTAGCATATGAGTCACTGGCTCCTTGTGCTGCTTCTCGCTCTCCCAGTCTGAGATCTGCTGTACAGGGGATTGCAAGAGACTGATGGCAAATCAAATATAAGTCCTTAAACAAATATATTAATGTATTAATGGACACAGAGCTGCATTCAATTGTGTCTTTTATGTCTGCCTGGAGTTCAGCTCTAATGCTTCTGGTTTATTTATTGCACATGTATCGTTCTACTGCTGGAAGGCAAGAGAGGTATTGCACTCCAGTAGTAAGCATTCATCTCTCCTCTTTATAGGTGTAAGCACTATTTCTGCGAGACCTGCGCCCTGCAACATTATCGCAAATCCAAACGTTGCTACATATGCAACACACAGACAAACGGTGTCTTCAACCCTGCTAAAGGTACGTATTGTGTTCTAGCTACAACCATCCGTGACAAGGACCACTGGTTTCTGTGCCACTAATCTGGGAGCACTTCATAGATGAGTTGGGTTTAGTTGTATATTCCTGCAATACATGCACAATTCCCAGTCTCTTATTCCTTCAAAAATGCTGCAAGTATAGTGATCCCAAAATTCCAGTTAGAGCTTAACGTCCAGAAGTGAGGTGATGCTTCTTCTGCTTCATTGGAATCTTAAAGTGTTGTCAGCCGTGCCCAGTTCATCTCTACTGGACTGCACGCCTATCCCTCTCCTCGTTCCCAGCAAACCTATGCTCCTGCCTTGCTTCCTAAGAGCGTCATACTTTATTTAAAGAAAGGGCTCTTGGGAGATGTAGTTCTTGAGGTGTGCCTACATCACTAGGAATTGACCGAGGGTACCCTTCTAATTCACCTCCCAGCGAGTAATACTACAAGGTAAAGGAAACCATTTACATTGTTGGGGAGAGGGAGGTTTAGGGGTAACTTTTTGTACCATAAACAATGAGCTGATTTTAGATTTGATCATTTCATACCATTCCATCAAAAAGAATCTTTGGACGCAGCAAGCACGACTCCTCTGCCTGAATTCCATCAGACTGGCATTGTATGACAATTGTCTGTCCATCAAATTGGCCGATCTCCGCTTCTTGCATTGATCATTATATGGGAGTATTGGGTATATGTGTGCCTACTAATCCGTGTCTTTTTTTCTTCCCCCAGAATTGATTGCAAAGATAGAGAAGTACAAGGCTGATCACGCCGAGAGTAACGCTCCTGATGAAGAGGGGTAACGCCAGTTTTCTTCCTGATTTTTTTTTTTTTTAAATTAATAAAAACTTTAGATAGAAATGGTTTCTCTGGCTCTGATCTTATAATGGGGGTTGGAAGTCCTCAACACACGGAACACATGGTTATTTCAGGGTCTACATCACACTGGAAGTAGGATATGACTGGTTATACTGGGTAAGAGCAGAAAGAATTGGGTTTACTCTGGTTTTTCTTTAAAGGAGAATTATGGAGTAAGTATTTTTCCCCATAGTTCTCCTAAGGGTCACAGGAGGACACATCCTCCCTTGACCCAAAGCTCAGTATAACGCGAGCTACAGCTCGCGGTATACTGAGACGCCGCAGCCGGGACGGATCCGACAATACTGTCTGGATCCACCCAGCTGCGTGAGTGACAGCTGTCTCTGCCTATCTAGAGGCAGAGCCAGCTGTACCCGCCCCCTCCCGTTGCTCCACTCAGCGCTGGAGGATCGGACCAGGGAATCCCTACAGGGAGCCATGAGTGACCGTCACCACTCTCTGCAGGGATAGATCGAGAAGTGTGCGAGCGACCGTATGCGTTCTCTCACTTCCCGATCTATTGAGCCAACCTGTGACCGTTTCATTGTCACATGTCGGCTCGAACTATGAGGATGAGTGAAAATCACACACCTCATAGTTCTCCTTTTTAAATATCAGATGATGGGAATGTTAAACCTGTGCTCCAGCAATCTGATAATTACATACGTGGTAGCTGTTCCACCTGCCAAACCAGCGACAAAACCTATAAGGGTTTAACTGCAGCACAGAACAATCTTTTACCCTGTCAGACAGGGCTGTGTTATGTGGCAGAGCTGTGAAAATCTCAAGGCTGGAAGGACAGAAATTCAAATTGGCTCCCATATATGCTTCATACGTGTATTAGAGGTGTACATGTATACATGTATTAGAGGTTTGCCTGGACTTCAGCGTGAGGGGAATTTGTCAAAACTGGAGCAGACGCTTCTCTCTTCAGTTCAGATTTAAAAATGAAAGAGAGAAGCTGATTGGTGGCCGTGCACAGCTGCTCCAGATTTAATTAATTCCCCCTCCATGTAGCTGTTACATGTAATTATTCCCATCGGTCACATTTAAAAATCAATGTATTGTAATCAGTAAGCCATTGGTGATCATTAGAGAAGATGAGGAAGAATTGGGTGAAAGTATATAAAATGTATTTATTTATTTTGGCAACAACATGTAACAGAGAATCTCCTTGTCATTGTGTAATACACTGGGGGGGAGGGGGTGGGAGCAGACAGAATCTGGAGCACTTACCCATGGCAACCAATCAGCTTCTCTCTTTAGTTTGTTCAGTTAAGCTTTGAAAATGAAAGGTGAATGCTAACTGGTTGCTATGGACAACTGCTCCAGATTGTCTGCTCCAGTTTTGATAAATTCCCCTCTTTAGATGACGTGTCTGTGCACTTGTTCACGGGCTGCAGACACGCACAGAGGTTTATAATTAATTAAAAAACACAAAACACCACCACAAAACTGCAGGCGTTGTCTAAGGGGGCGCTGTATCACTGAAAGAGGTGTGGAGGCTACAGGAATATGGTTGTAGTGGTATGATCCTGACAGATTAGACATGGGCCTCTGTAGGAAGGCTCGTCCCCGGCTTCTTTGATCATACGTTGTTGCTGTAGATATCTGTTCACTTGATCAGACATGATGCAGAGTTATGATTTAGGCCCAGGTATGAAATAGCAATGCTGAGGAGTCTGCAGGCGTGCAGTGAATCAGACTTGAAGGCCCTGTTTAGTGAAATGATAGGTTTGAATTCAGTTTTGTATAACATCCAGGCTGCAGTGGACAAGGAAGTGACAGGGTCTCTTTACAATCATCTCAAGCAAGAGCTTCCTGTCTCAAGACCCCCATTCCTACTTCCAAAAACTTAAATGGCGAGATTGCTGCGAGGACCGAGGCCTCAGGGAATATAGATGGAGAAGATACTGATGCTATAAGCACAGGGGATTTGAACCGGCTTTTATCTCAAGAAGTGCTGCTCGAGCAGGTAGAAGCTTCTATGACAGAAGACTCACTCAATCTCTCCTGACATATTAAGCCCGCCTGTCAGCTCTTTCAAGAACTAAAAAGACTTTACTTATAAGCCATGCAGAGAAAAGGGACCTCCTGTTCCAAAATGGACATTGGTCATAGACTAGCTAATTAGGTAGTAACACCACTTCTTGCGCATATGTAAACCTTCCCCAAGGGAAGGATCAGCCCTATTTTAAAGAGTTGCATGTGGCAATGATAGAAAGCATTCATTATCAACTCCTGAGGAAGGCTAACATGGCTCGATCCTTTCTTAGCCTCCTTCCTGCAGCCTAACAAGCTGTAAACTAGAACACGTCTCTGTACAATCCTTTACAATGCAGGCAAGGAGTAACAAGGGAACTGTGCCAAGTGAGTGTACAGCCGACTCATTCTGCGCTAGGATACAGCTAGCTCTGAACAATTGCTATATGGGATCGGGCCACAGCATAATAATAGGTATGGGTGGAGTCTTCATCATATACTGGCTCCTTCAGTCTTTTGGGGACACCCATGATCAAATCCCCATATTAGAGCTTTTAGGTCAGCTGTGGTATGTGAAGTCTCCTACTGCACCCTGATAAATAATTCTACAGTAGATGACCATTCTTTTTGACATTCATGGTGTGGAATGGATGACCGTTCTGAAGCAGTTAGACCTTCTTTGGAAGCAGGTCCTATTAGGGTGGGTTTGACATAGTTGGCAAAGCAGGTCTAACACAACCTTTTGTTTCATTTTGCATTGAAACCTATGCACTAGAGAAGTGCTGCATTCAAATGGAAAAGGTTATGTTCAGCAACACCTACCTACACCAGCCCTGGTCCGGGGTTAAGACCCCCTTGTAATGGCCAAAAGGGAGTAGAATGAGCTGAAATCAGACACAGGCCTTGTACTATAAAGGATACCAATAGGTGATTTATCTGATACACATACTGGACAGGTTGTCCATTGTCTGTCACTGTAACCAGCCTGCTAGTAAGAAGTTGTATATACAAAGATTTACACACCTCAACATAGAATTTACAGTAAAAATAAAACTAGAGTAAATTAAAGTCCTAGTCCATACAGGTTTGTTATTGTACAGTATTCTTTAAAGCCCCTTTTGGGGGATCATTTTGTCCCCCTTCTAACCCATACCACAAGAATTTTTCATACCTGTTGAAGCATGTTATAATCATTTGCCCGGGTCCCTCACCGCTGCCGTTTCTGCGTACAGGGGATTACTATCCTATACTTAATGCACCTGAGACCGCTGATCCCCCTACTGGCACAATGTCACTCCTCTTCTGGATCCTGAGAGGACCCCACTCCTGGTGAGCCAATAGAAAGTGTCCATGTCATACAGACAGTGACATGGGACGTAAACAAAGAAAGAGAGAAGAACTGGGACCTGAGCAAAGCTTTTTGATATGGGTCTACCTAAACAATTCATTCACTTTGTATCCGGTCTGACAGTCCCTACACAACAGTTTGTACAATCTCCTTTAGATCTACCATCAGCTTCACCTCACCAGGACAAAATGTTACCACTTGGAGACGCTAAGGGGTTAAGAGACTGTTTAAGCAGAGTGGAGACACTTTGAAAACCCTGTCATTTTTTTTATTAATGTCTGTGTCCCCGATTGGAGGTGGGGAGAATTTCCCTCACTTCCTGTCCCTGTGGCAGCTTGTCAAGGTGTCACAGGCAAAGGAAGAGATGACATATTTCCAACAAGGACACAGGCAGTAAGTAATATCCAATGGCATGCAATGATGAGCAATTTCCTTGTAGCACCATAATGCAGGTGTCACATTCATCTGGACTCCTAACCCCTTCTCTGTCCCTTTATTTCAAAGTCATTTGGATTTCTAATGGCTGAATGGAATTGTGACAGCGGTAGCTCATCAGGGGAATCCAAAATCTAACCAACAGTCACAACAGACTGAAATCTACATTTCGTATGGACTATCACTTACAAAGGGGCACTCCAGATCACAGAATGAATGGACTTTTCAGCCACGCTGCTTAGACAACAGGTGAGGATGGAGGTTGGGGCTCACACTGTCAGATTAACCTGGAAGAAGCACCAGTTCCCGCTCATTAGAGAAGACCAAACATTGTTTTACATTTCAGCAATTTGAACACCTTTAAAAACAACAAAAAGAACGGCATTTAACAATGTGAAGGGCAATCAACACATGCTGGGTCTATCATTTCCACCATCGATGACCGGGTGCAATAAAACGATCAGCGTTATAAATAGTATCCAAGTCATTACCGCCATGGCTGGGTAGATGTTTCAAGGGATCCATTGTGTCCCTGGTTAAAGGAAATCTATATTAAGGGTGAAAATATCCCGTCAGCACAGAATATAAGGTAATGCACAGCTGTTGTTTCTATTTTAGTGACCCTTGCCGATACCTGCACTAAAGGTTGTATATCACCTGCTAGCATACAAGGACAAGTCTGTAATCAAAGCAATTTGGACAGGGTGAGTAGTCACTACGTTCTCCATGATCCACACAATGAAAGTGACATTTTGGGAAAGGCTTATTTCCTGGCTCCAAACCCTGTGAAACATAATTCTTTTTTTTCTTATAAAAAGGTTCCAAAAAAGACAAAAGGCTACTAATGTATTCTAAGTTCCTTCCCGAGAGATACCTGCACTGCAATTAATGCCAATTCATCTGTACCAATCTAGAAAACGCTCAATGGAGGTCTCTGCTGCTGCATCTGACACTGGCCAATACACATCAGCAGCCTGACCTGTCTAATACAATATGCCAGTGACAATGTTAATCTCATTGCCCCTCGCTACAATTCCCATTGGGTTACAGCTGGACCGGCCCTCAATTAATATTCATTGTAAACATTATCAGGAAGCCTATACATAAATAGTAGCCTCATCCCACCAAGAATGAGTTCATTCCCAGTAGGGCAGCCTGTCCATTAAATGGGCACGTTTGGAGGGTTGTCTGGTGCCCAATGACCATGGGAGGCAACCTGCCCCCCACTGATGGATGTTCCAGCTTGAACAGCGTGCATAGGCAATAACATGAGTGGTAAGATATATATGGGAGGTGTGCCACAGGTCTACCAAACCTGCTGAAGGCCTCTGATGTCTTTAAGATGGTGGTCTTGGCTGATCATAAAGGAGAGGACTCATGATCAGGCCCCCTTCCCTACTTACAGTAATCAAAGCTTTATTGGACAAACCTCTGAGCATGCCACCTTGTGAAAATAGCCGCTGGTTTTGCACAACACTGATTAGCAGGTGCCACCTGTGAACAAGCAGGGTTGGGTGACCAGTGGTGATAACCAAGTGAACTGACATGTTCAGTGACCGTACAGCGCAAAGCAGGTTAACTACGTCTATATACGAGACAAATTCCAGCATAGTGTGCCTTCTTCCAGAGGAACGAACAACACGAACGGTGAGATGAGGCTGCTGCCAACATCAGAGGCAGCTTCTCTGTATGCACGCCTAAGATTTGTGATGGTGGGTTTCCTCATGCACCTCCAATAAGCGAGACCTCCTGTCGGGGCCAGTGCAGTGTAAACATTAACGGGATTCCAATCCCTCCCCTCTTCCTTAAAAGTCCCAGTCATCCACATCCAGCTGATCCAAGTTAGATACCAGTCCCTCTAATCCGGGCAGATCTGAACGTCTAGCTCCCTCGAAGTTGGTGATGGGGGACACTGGACGGAGGAGCTCGGGAAGGGCTTCAGATGCTCTACGCTTTATCTGTGAGAAGTAGAAATCTTTGTTAAATTTGGCACCACTAACCAAAAATAAATAAATATGCCATTCAACCCATTACAGCAGCCGTGACCCTGCAGCATGCCAACTGGGCAATCTCTGCAATGCATTTAATGCTTGGATGGAACACGGGGCACATTTACCTGTTTGAAGAAGGAATGATTGAGCAGAGTGCCAGCGTTAGGCCTGCAAAACAGACAAAAATATGAATTGGAATGAGGAACCATATCAATATCAGTGTGGCAGAGGAAAATTCTGGCTCCTTCACAAGCTTCACCATAGCTAAACTTCAGGATTTAGTCAAATCTGTGGTTTGCAACAGGTACACTTAAATGCTCTCCCTTGCCCAATAGCTCCCCTACCCACCTGTTTAGGCACCAGGGACCACTCATTACCATCTTGTCTTGATTGTAATATCTTCCTTATATTGTAAAGCGCTGCACAAACTGTTGGCGCTATATAAATCCTGTATAATAATGTGACTGCCCCCGCACAGCAAGGGGTAAGTGCTCGTTTGTGTCTAGGCTCACAAAATAAGACTCACCCGAAGCGCCAAGCCGGCTTCTTCTTAGACTGGCCCTTCTAACATCTCCCCCCTCCTCTGCAGCGCTCTAAAGTCCCGTAAATCATCAGCGTCTATACACTGTGTATAGACCTGAGGAAGATTTTAATGTTGCAGGGTGAGGGGAAGACAGACTGGAGGGGGCGATGTCGGAGCTTCGGGTGAGTATATCAGTGTTACTTTAGCACCTAGACACAAATGAGCACTTAACCCGTGCAGTGCGGGGGGGTAGCAAGGGTTAATTTAAAAACAATTCCCCAGCGTTCTTCTTTAACCATAGCCATCAGATATTCCAATCTATGCCAAGCCTCACCGTAGCTCAGGGTTTCTCTGCAGACACTGCTCCACCAAGTTGTGGAAGTGTGGGGAGAAGGTGCGGTTGTAAGGGTGCATGCTGTGCTCCCCGTTGGAGGGGCGACAGGAGGTGCCTTCTCCAATGCCAGAGTCCGCTCCAGAGCGAGAGGTCTTCATGATGAGATCTGAGGCAGGAATGGTTGCCGTGTCCAGCAAGCAGGGCACCGTGCCATTCAGCTTCTCAAGGAGCATCTAGTGAGGAGACAAGTCAAGTAGTATCATACCAGGCTTCATTTATCTAAATCTGGCTGCCTAAATGATTCCATCAGAATCCAACTGTCATATTGAAAGTGTAACATGTTTGAAAATGTATTTTTAAAAAATTTCCTTTTTGTCAAAAAGCTTGTTTCTATAGTTCTAAATGTCTGACCTAACACATAGGCAGATATATGCCCTTCTCACCTGTGCTACATAGCCCAGTCATCAGTGTGCAATGCAGACATGGCGGTGGTCTATTGCCCAGGTTGGCAATCTCTGCACCATTCTAAAATGCTGTATAAGTGCCATGACTTGCAGTACACTTCTAATGGACACAGTGAGGTATACGGACTAGGATTATCAGAGTCCACAATATCAGTTTCTGGTTTTATACATGGAGTGTAGTAAATGCCAACATCTGCATTAAAAGGTAAGGGAACATTTGGTTTTATCTGCTGTTCCTGTTCACATTGGGGAGCCCTACCATCACTTCCTCTCAAGATGAAATATCGTCTGAGTATGATAGGGTCTCAGTGAGACAGGAACTAAGGGGGGAATCTCTGCAAAGAAGCAACAAACATACTTTTCTTCTATTAGCAGTGTATGGAAATGGTTTCATTGCAGTTTTCCTATTAGGGAGACATACCCCAACTTCCTGTCCTGATGATACCCTGTGTGCGAGAATGTGATAAGGTCCTGGAGGGAAAGCAAGTAGCTGGGACACATTGATTTGGCTTCAATTTTCTACACGATAAGCAAAGAGAAGGGCTGACTAGTAGAGGAGTTCAAGGATAAATTTACAGAATACCCAGTATTGTGTATATGGGCTTATTGTGAGTGAACAACAGCAATGCCTGCCATGAATAGACCCTCGAATGAAATAAAGATGATGCAGGGAACATTCTAAGCTGAATCTAAATGCACTATGAGCAATTGCTACCATGGGTTCTGGAACCCACAATAGCAGACAGTTTCTCATTTAGATACTTTAAGAAACAAGAAACAAATGAGTCCTAGTAGCCATACCATTGTCCTTACCTGCGTAGCTGGCATGTCTTTGAATGGCACGTGTCCATTAGCAAGCTCGCACGCTGTAATCCCCACACTGTAGATGTCAGATTTGGCATCGTACCCCTGGAGGTTCTGTAAAAAAAAAAAAAACCCAAAAAGGTTGATCACAGCTGTCAAGGAGCGCTTAACTCCTAAAAGTTACCATATAGATGAGTCTCTCAACCAGGGTTCCTCCAGGAGGTTGCTAGGGGATCCTTGGGCTGGGAGCAGTGGTGGATTTTGATCTTCCACCTACACTGACCATCAATGTAAGGGGGCAATTGTCCACTGGCATCCAATGTATAAGGTCACTTCTACACTGACTAGCAATGTAAGGGGGCAATTGTCCACTGGCATCCAATGTATAAGGTCACTTCTACACTGACCAGCAATGTAAGGGGGCAATTGTCCACTGGCATCCAATGTATAAGGTCACTTCTACACTGACCAGCAATGTAAGGGGGCAATTATCCACTGGCATCCAATGTAAAGGTCACTTCTACACTGACCAGCAATGTTGGACGGCACTATTCAATGGGCCACTATCATTAGAGGGCACGTCTCCACTGCTCTCTAGTGTAAGAGGAGGACAGTACAATGTTGACAATGTATATCTTTCCTGGCATTATTCATTTCTTTTTATGATGATTGAAAACAATTTTGTCATATGGGGCCAGAGGGTGGACTGCAAACGGATGTGCTCTGGGCATCACATTCTGCAGGTACAGCATATTCTTTATGATTCCACAATTTACTGAGCACACTCATCTACCATGAACTATAGCTATAAGCTTCCATAGGGGTTCCCTATTGAGCTGACATTTGTTTTTTTTCCTCCAGAGTGAAAAGGTTGAGAAAAGCCGATGGCATTAATCAGGTATTTTAGTACAGCATGAACGCTTTGTAAATTGTACAGTGTATACTATATACTCATCTCACCTGCTGTAAGAGCTCCGGGCTCAGCCAGGGAAGAACCCGGGAACTGTGCTTGGGGAAATCATGGACCACTTTCAGTCGCTGTCCGTGGTTTATCATACTAAGAATACTGCGCAGGCCAGAGAGGTACACCTTCCCTTCCACAGAGATGAGGATGTGACTGGCCTTCACACTCCTGCAGAAAGACAATTATTATTTGGCCAGATACTAAATGAGTTACACTGCAAATAACCCGTTTAGTTTAAAGAAGGGACTTCTAGGAAGATCTTTCATATGGAAGTCTGTGGGGACAAAGTAGTATAATGTCCTTCCTTGTAATCAAAAGGCTGTTTATAGAATAAATCGCATTAAAAAACTACAATGGCATACACAGGGGTAGCCAAAATCGGCTCTCCAGCTGTGGTAGAACTACAAACCCCATGAGGCATTGCAAGATTCTCAGCCACGACTCCCGGGGAGAGATGCATCATGGGATTTGTAGTTTCACCACAGCTGGAGGGCCCGAGTTTGGCTACCCCTGGCATACAGTATGTAATTCTACATGGGATCACTGTCACATAAGGTGCTGCTCTTTCATACAAAGAGGGCAAAAAAGCAGAGGTGCTATAGAGCAGGGGGGATAAGAAGTGCAAATTCATCTTCAATTTAACTCCCCTATCACCTCATTCTCCCACTAGAGCCCCTTAACATTGGTATGGAGCTTACACAGAGCCAAGGACCCCCACTCCTAATAGCAGCACCCTGGCCTTTACAAGCCAAGAGCCAATTCATGGTTTGTATTGATATTAGCATTCTCACTACATCTGGCCATACCATAGTTTATAGATGAAATAATCATGTAGCCACTTGCTTAGCTACCCCATGAACCACATTCTCCCTTTGAATAATGAAGTCGCCATCATTTGACCCCTGCCCTATGTTACCTGTGAACGTAACCCATATGATGGATGTAATCCAAGGCTTTCAACACTCCAAGCAGGATGTAAGCGATTGCCAGCTCACTCATTCCATCTGTGAAGTGTGTGCATATCAGGTCCTTGGCTGACCCTGCCAGGAGAGACACAGCGAGACCATCACTTTATTACCAAGTGGAATGAGAACAAACAACTACAGTCTACCAAACGTTGTAAACCAATCCAAAAAACACCAACATGCTGTGGTCTCCTGATCAAACACATGCTTCAAAACAGGTGCTCCGCTTGGCGTTCCATTGCAGAGAAAGCAGATGTTGTGACGCTTTAGGTGACCTTTGACATTATGACACAAGGTCAAAGTGTATCTAAAGACATAAGTTTATTTTTTAGTTGATAGATCAGAGAACTTGTAATATCATGAGCCACCTGCACTCCTTACGGCATTGGAACCTTGAAATAATGGTGGTGCTTGTAGTGATGGCACATATGGCGCCGTGCAGAACTCCAAGGAATGATTCCTGATTGATACCCGACTATGGCAACCAAATGCACATCAATGTACTCCGGCCTGTGAGGACCTGACTGGTTCTTTGATCTCCAAGGAATCACAATGAATCACCAGCACACACGGGATGAGGTTTCAATTCTTCTTTGTCGTGTTTATTAAAACGTCACATCAGGTCATCAAATGCTAACGTTTCGGGACCATGCAGACTACTTCATCTCTCTAAGTCACTCTGATAAAGGGTCCCTGCGTGGTTCCAAAACGTTAGCATTTGATGGCATGTGACGTTTTAATAAACACAACAAAGAAGAATTGAAACTGTATTCCGTGTGTGTGCTGGTGATTCATTGTGATTCCTTGGAGATCAAAGAGTCTGCCAGGTCATCACAGGCAGGAGTACATTGATGTGCATTTGGTTGCCATAGTCAGGTATCATCAGTGTTCTAAACACCATCTTACCAAACTAGCTTTCAGTTCTACTCACCGTAAGCCATGAACGGGGTGACCACCCACAGCTCATTGTTGGCTATGAATGTGGCTCTGTAAGGGAGGATGTTGGGGTGGTTGAACAGCTTAGACACATGAAGTTCCGTCTGCAGACGAGAAGGTTTGGTTAGCATCCAGGGAAATCTAGAAATCCTGGTAACCAATCAACATCACCCACGACTTCTTATAGTAAAAACTCACTCAAGTGAAGGAAAAATGCACAGCTGGACAAGTTAACAGGACTTAAACTGCATAGGGGTGCTTGAACACCTGGCAGGATACTCTAGAGTGCACGAGAACCATAAAAATTGGGACTTTAATATGCAACCAGATGCTTGGCTGCCAGCCCTACCCATTAACTTCCGCACCTCAGTATTGGCTTATCATTGCAAAGGGCAGCCTTGCTAACCAATAGTGGAAAGCAGGAAGTAGAAAGGGGTGAGTAAAGCTGGTGACAACATGAACTGGTTACTTTTTGCATATCAGAATGTCACAATTTGTGTCCCCTTGGTGCTCTGCAGACGATCCTCCCAGGCCCACAGGCATTGGGGTTACCTGCTCCGCAGCATAAGCGGCATTTTTGGATGTAATATGCTGCCACATGTTTACGTTAAAGGCAAACAATTTCATAATGGAACTCCTAATGAGGGGATATTAATATGAATTGATGTCTAAGGGTACGTAATGTTAATAAAAAGCAGGCAATAAGTGGCAATCACTATCTTTATAAAGTCAGGAAACATTGTTTAGAAGCACTGTGTAGGAATATTTCGAGGGCAGGGGTAAATAAAATGTGCAAATGTTTTAGCGGTCATTCATCAGGGGATATGCAGCAAACATATGATGTTATGAAGGAGTACATAAGAAAGCATTAGAATATGAGTGGATGCCACACAAACAAAGATTACCTGCAGGAAGGCCACCATATCGTTGGTGCAATACTCCAAGTTAACTCTTCTGATACAAACATACTCCCCCGAGGGTTTGTATCGCGCTAAGTTTACCGTCATCAGGTCCTCAAATCCTCTCCCTGAGGAAAATAAAATATCAGCGGACCATCAAATTCTAAACGGTACAAATGCACATTGTACTCTAAACTTCTCAGAGCCAGATTACAGATATTTGAAGCCCACCTTCCCTTCTGCCTACAAGACAACTATTATCTTTACGATGTACCGAGAACCAGCCACCAATAGTTATCTGTAATGTGACGCTACTCTTGATATTCTTATAACATTGCAGTGTTAGATTTTACTTACTTGTAGTCTCTCTTTATCAGAGCGGAGTTGTCAAGCTGAAAGACTGTCATATTTGTTACCTGCGTCCAGTGCTGATAACAGCCATTCATATAACAAAAGGTGATTTAGGATTATGTAAAAGATTCAAATATAAAGGCTTTGTTATTTGACAGTTTTACTCTCCTCCTGCTGCCAGGAGTGTGCGTTAGTAATAAACCATGAGCTATGGAGGGAGACAGATCAGCCTTCCCATTGGGTCCTAACAGCCTGACACTGGGCTAACATCTCTGCTCTGACAGAAGCAAGGCTGCACAACTTATAGCCTGGGCTGAGCACTGTCACACAGGGAAGGATGTCATTATCCCTGTGTAAGCACTGACAATGACACAGTATAATGTCTTTTTAAGCTCTCAGGGCTCCCTGCAGGGAAGGTTATTATGGGCAGGCAGATTCCCTTTAAGTTTTGCTCATTGTTTTCTTTAATGCACACATAAATGTGATCAGCTTAATGTGAATGGTACCGTATTCAAGTGTGTTACAACAGAGCCTGCTTATAAACCTTGCTCGGTATAGTTTGTAATTAAAGATGTACACGTGAACAGGTTTAGTAAAGAGACCCTGTCGCCAAACCATCCATTTCAACCACCTTACCATAATGTTGTGGGAGCATTTACCATATGCATGTTTTTTGCCTGTAAAAGCCTCCCTTATGTAGAAAGCCCTGAGACTGCTGCTGGGTGCCGCCATCTTGGATGTGATGTCAGCAGCCCCAGCAGGGTCAAAGTGGTCATTCAAGTGACACTCTCTAGCATTCACCTTCACTCCTTCCCTGGTAGATACGTAAAAGGTTATGTAGAGAAGTGAAGGCAGTGTCAGAGGACTAAGACAGTAATTAGACAATCCCAGAAGACGTGCAAGGAGGGAACAGGCAGTGCTAGAGAATTGACTCTTCCTGTAGTAGTCCAATTTCTTTTTTAGCAAGCTCAGACACATTGTGAAGTGAATGAAAATGTACAGAAAGGAGACATAATGCAAGTAATCATTTAAAAAACACTCAATTTTCTTTTACCTGCAGTTTTTAGTTTGGTGACAGGGTCTCTAAGACTTCCTCTCCAAATGATCAGGGGTGCAGATATTAGGCTATGGGTGGATTTGGTGGGAACCTGAGACCACCCAAACTGTATGCTTGTGTGCTCAGGAACATGAAGTTGAGAGCTATTTGAAGAGCAGGACTGCTGCACAAAATCTATGCAGGGATGATAATTAAGCATAAGATAAGCTGCCCCCTAGATGATTTGAATAATAGATGCCTGGCTACTCTATGTACCTGTCCCAGGCTGGTGATATATAGCAATGACGACAAACCTGCTGCCCAACTAGCAGAGAAAATATCCGTTGCTTACCTATAACAGTGAGGAGGTCATAACAACTATTATCTGGAGTATATACCCCCATGGTGTCCGGACTGCGACAAGACGCTATGGACTCCGCGCTGGCTGCTTCATCGGGCTAAAGTTCAGAACACCAAGGCAGACATTAGACAAGAAGTGGAACCAAAGAGACTTTGTTAGAATAGAATATCTCACTGAAAAGAATGGGGGAGATTTATAAAACAAGTGCACCGTGTGACAGTACAGAATAGCTGTGATGTGCAATTTGTCTGAACACTAGGAACAAGATACCTGATAAAAGGTTATTTCCACGTTAAAATGACCCCCTCCATTGGCTATGACCCTTTAAATTATTGACAATGACAACACGTGGACGTCTGCAGACAAAAGGCAGCACAGCTGAATACTGCACTGGATAGAAGGCACAATGCCGTGATACATTCTCCCATTGACTTTACATTAGTAGAAACAATGGCTTTGTAAATGATGGTATACATCACAACCCAGGAGTTCCCACAGAAATGTGATATAATGATGGTTATTAGAACATGTAATAGTTATATTGGTATAATGCAGATGGAAATTAAATGGTCAGAATTAGCAGCTCTGTTTCATTCACAAACCAAGAACAAAGCTGTCCGGGGCTCCCTTAGAGAGATTTCACTTTACCTTTTACCAGACAGGAAGTGAGGGGAAATGTGCAACAGGGAAACAGACAACAGGAATGGTAAATGTTCCCCGTGTATCCAATGTATAAGGTCACTTCTACACTGACCAGCAATGTAAGGGGGCAATTGTCCACTGGCATCCAATGTATAAGGTCACTTCTACACTGACCAGCAATGTAAGGGGGCAATTGTCCACTGGCATCCAATGTATAAGGTCACTTCTACACTGACCAGCAATGTAAGGGGGCAATTATCCACTGGCATCCAATGTAAAGGTCACTTCTACACTGACCAGCAATGTTGGACGGCACTATTCAATGGGCCACTATCATTAGAGGGCACGTCTCCACTGCTCTCTAGTGTAAGAGGAGGACAGTACAATGTTGACAATGTATATCTTTCCTGGCATTATTCATTTCTTTTTATGATGATTGAAAACAATTTTGTCATATGGGGCCAGAGGGTGGACTGCAAACGGATGTGCTCTGGGCATCACATTCTGCAGGTACAGCATATTCTTTATGATTCCACAATTTACTGAGCACACTCATCTACCATGAACTATAGCTATAAGCTTCCATAGGGGTTCCCTATTGAGCTGACATTTGTTTTTTTTCCTCCAGAGTGAAAAGGTTGAGAAAAGCCGATGGCATTAATCAGGTATTTTAGTACAGCATGAACGCTTTGTAAATTGTACAGTGTATACTATATACTCATCTCACCTGCTGTAAGAGCTCCGGGCTCAGCCAGGGAAGAACCCGGGAACTGTGCTTGGGGAAATCATGGACCACTTTCAGTCGCTGTCCGTGGTTTATCATACTAAGAATACTGCGCAGGCCAGAGAGGTACACCTTCCCTTCCACAGAGATGAGGATGTGACTGGCCTTCACACTCCTGCAGAAAGACAATTATTATTTGGCCAGATACTAAATGAGTTACACTGCAAATAACCCGTTTAGTTTAAAGAAGGGACTTCTAGGAAGATCTTTCATATGGAAGTCTGTGGGGACAAAGTAGTATAATGTCCTTCCTTGTAATCAAAAGGCTGTTTATAGAATAAATCGCATTAAAAAACTACAATGGCATACACAGGGGTAGCCAAAATCGGCTCTCCAGCTGTGGTAGAACTACAAACCCCATGAGGCATTGCAAGATTCTCAGCCACGACTCCCGGGGAGAGATGCATCATGGGATTTGTAGTTTCACCACAGCTGGAGGGCCCGAGTTTGGCTACCCCTGGCATACAGTATGTAATTCTACATGGGATCACTGTCACATAAGGTGCTGCTCTTTCATACAAAGAGGGCAAAAAAGCAGAGGTGCTATAGAGCAGGGGGGATAAGAAGTGCAAATTCATCTTCAATTTAACTCCCCTATCACCTCATTCTCCCACTAGAGCCCCTTAACATTGGTATGGAGCTTACACAGAGCCAAGGACCCCCACTCCTAATAGCAGCACCCTGGCCTTTACAAGCCAAGAGCCAATTCATGGTTTGTATTGATATTAGCATTCTCACTACATCTGGCCATACCATAGTTTATAGATGAAATAATCATGTAGCCACTTGCTTAGCTACCCCATGAACCACATTCTCCCTTTGAATAATGAAGTCGCCATCATTTGACCCCTGCCCTATGTTACCTGTGAACGTAACCCATATGATGGATGTAATCCAAGGCTTTCAACACTCCAAGCAGGATGTAAGCGATTGCCAGCTCACTCATTCCATCTGTGAAGTGTGTGCATATCAGGTCCTTGGCTGACCCTGCCAGGAGAGACACAGCGAGACCATCACTTTATTACCAAGTGGAATGAGAACAAACAACTACAGTCTACCAAACGTTGTAAACCAATCCAAAAAACACCAACATGCTGTGGTCTCCTGATCAAACACATGCTTCAAAACAGGTGCTCCGCTTGGCGTTCCATTGCAGAGAAAGCAGATGTTGTGACGCTTTAGGTGACCTTTGACATTATGACACAAGGTCAAAGTGTATCTAAAGACATAAGTTTATTTTTTAGTTGATAGATCAGAGAACTTGTAATATCATGAGCCACCTGCACTCCTTACGGCATTGGAACCTTGAAATAATGGTGGTGCTTGTAGTGATGGCACATATGGCGCCGTGCAGAACTCCAAGGAATGATTCCTGATTGATACCCGACTATGGCAACCAAATGCACATCAATGTACTCCGGCCTGTGAGGACCTGACTGGTTCTTTGATCTCCAAGGAATCACAATGAATCACCAGCACACACGGGATGAGGTTTCAATTCTTCTTTGTCGTGTTTATTAAAACGTCACATCAGGTCATCAAATGCTAACGTTTCGGGACCATGCAGACTACTTCATCTCTCTAAGTCACTCTGATAAAGGGTCCCTGCGTGGTTCCAAAACGTTAGCATTTGATGGCATGTGACGTTTTAATAAACACAACAAAGAAGAATTGAAACTGTATTCCGTGTGTGTGCTGGTGATTCATTGTGATTCCTTGGAGATCAAAGAGTCTGCCAGGTCATCACAGGCAGGAGTACATTGATGTGCATTTGGTTGCCATAGTCAGGTATCATCAGTGTTCTAAACACCATCTTACCAAACTAGCTTTCAGTTCTACTCACCGTAAGCCATGAACGGGGTGACCACCCACAGCTCATTGTTGGCTATGAATGTGGCTCTGTAAGGGAGGATGTTGGGGTGGTTGAACAGCTTAGACACATGAAGTTCCGTCTGCAGACGAGAAGGTTTGGTTAGCATCCAGGGAAATCTAGAAATCCTGGTAACCAATCAACATCACCCACGACTTCTTATAGTAAAAACTCACTCAAGTGAAGGAAAAATGCACAGCTGGACAAGTTAACAGGACTTAAACTGCATAGGGGTGCTTGAACACCTGGCAGGATACTCTAGAGTGCACGAGAACCATAAAAATTGGGACTTTAATATGCAACCAGATGCTTGGCTGCCAGCCCTACCCATTAACTTCCGCACCTCAGTATTGGCTTATCATTGCAAAGGGCAGCCTTGCTAACCAATAGTGGAAAGCAGGAAGTAGAAAGGGGTGAGTAAAGCTGGTGACAACATGAACTGGTTACTTTTTGCATATCAGAATGTCACAATTTGTGTCCCCTTGGTGCTCTGCAGACGATCCTCCCAGGCCCACAGGCATTGGGGTTACCTGCTCCGCAGCATAAGCGGCATTTTTGGATGTAATATGCTGCCACATGTTTACGTTAAAGGCAAACAATTTCATAATGGAACTCCTAATGAGGGGATATTAATATGAATTGATGTCTAAGGGTACGTAATGTTAATAAAAAGCAGGCAATAAGTGGCAATCACTATCTTTATAAAGTCAGGAAACATTGTTTAGAAGCACTGTGTAGGAATATTTCGAGGGCAGGGGTAAATAAAATGTGCAAATGTTTTAGCGGTCATTCATCAGGGGATATGCAGCAAACATATGATGTTATGAAGGAGTACATAAGAAAGCATTAGAATATGAGTGGATGCCACACAAACAAAGATTACCTGCAGGAAGGCCACCATATCGTTGGTGCAATACTCCAAGTTAACTCTTCTGATACAAACATACTCCCCCGAGGGTTTGTATCGCGCTAAGTTTACCGTCATCAGGTCCTCAAATCCTCTCCCTGAGGAAAATAAAATATCAGCGGACCATCAAATTCTAAACGGTACAAATGCACATTGTACTCTAAACTTCTCAGAGCCAGATTACAGATATTTGAAGCCCACCTTCCCTTCTGCCTACAAGACAACTATTATCTTTACGATGTACCGAGAACCAGCCACCAATAGTTATCTGTAATGTGACGCTACTCTTGATATTCTTATAACATTGCAGTGTTAGATTTTACTTACTTGTAGTCTCTCTTTATCAGAGCGGAGTTGTCAAGCTGAAAGACTGTCATATTTGTTACCTGCGTCCAGTGCTGATAACAGCCATTCATATAACAAAAGGTGATTTAGGATTATGTAAAAGATTCAAATATAAAGGCTTTGTTATTTGACAGTTTTACTCTCCTCCTGCTGCCAGGAGTGTGCGTTAGTAATAAACCATGAGCTATGGAGGGAGACAGATCAGCCTTCCCATTGGGTCCTAACAGCCTGACACTGGGCTAACATCTCTGCTCTGACAGAAGCAAGGCTGCACAACTTATAGCCTGGGCTGAGCACTGTCACACAGGGAAGGATGTCATTATCCCTGTGTAAGCACTGACAATGACACAGTATAATGTCTTTTTAAGCTCTCAGGGCTCCCTGCAGGGAAGGTTATTATGGGCAGGCAGATTCCCTTTAAGTTTTGCTCATTGTTTTCTTTAATGCACACATAAATGTGATCAGCTTAATGTGAATGGTACCGTATTCAAGTGTGTTACAACAGAGCCTGCTTATAAACCTTGCTCGGTATAGTTTGTAATTAAAGATGTACACGTGAACAGGTTTAGTAAAGAGACCCTGTCGCCAAACCATCCATTTCAACCACCTTACCATAATGTTGTGGGAGCATTTACCATATGCATGTTTTTTGCCTGTAAAAGCCTCCCTTATGTAGAAAGCCCTGAGACTGCTGCTGGGTGCCGCCATCTTGGATGTGATGTCAGCAGCCCCAGCAGGGTCAAAGTGGTCATTCAAGTGACACTCTCTAGCATTCACCTTCACTCCTTCCCTGGTAGATACGTAAAAGGTTATGTAGAGAAGTGAAGGCAGTGTCAGAGGACTAAGACAGTAATTAGACAATCCCAGAAGACGTGCAAGGAGGGAACAGGCAGTGCTAGAGAATTGACTCTTCCTGTAGTAGTCCAATTTCTTTTTTAGCAAGCTCAGACACATTGTGAAGTGAATGAAAATGTACAGAAAGGAGACATAATGCAAGTAATCATTTAAAAAACACTCAATTTTCTTTTACCTGCAGTTTTTAGTTTGGTGACAGGGTCTCTAAGACTTCCTCTCCAAATGATCAGGGGTGCAGATATTAGGCTATGGGTGGATTTGGTGGGAACCTGAGACCACCCAAACTGTATGCTTGTGTGCTCAGGAACATGAAGTTGAGAGCTATTTGAAGAGCAGGACTGCTGCACAAAATCTATGCAGGGATGATAATTAAGCATAAGATAAGCTGCCCCCTAGATGATTTGAATAATAGATGCCTGGCTACTCTATGTACCTGTCCCAGGCTGGTGATATATAGCAATGACGACAAACCTGCTGCCCAACTAGCAGAGAAAATATCCGTTGCTTACCTATAACAGTGAGGAGGTCATAACAACTATTATCTGGAGTATATACCCCCATGGTGTCCGGACTGCGACAAGACGCTATGGACTCCGCGCTGGCTGCTTCATCGGGCTAAAGTTCAGAACACCAAGGCAGACATTAGACAAGAAGTGGAACCAAAGAGACTTTGTTAGAATAGAATATCTCACTGAAAAGAATGGGGGAGATTTATAAAACAAGTGCACCGTGTGACAGTACAGAATAGCTGTGATGTGCAATTTGTCTGAACACTAGGAACAAGATACCTGATAAAAGGTTATTTCCACGTTAAAATGACCCCCTCCATTGGCTATGACCCTTTAAATTATTGACAATGACAACACGTGGACGTCTGCAGACAAAAGGCAGCACAGCTGAATACTGCACTGGATAGAAGGCACAATGCCGTGATACATTCTCCCATTGACTTTACATTAGTAGAAACAATGGCTTTGTAAATGATGGTATACATCACAACCCAGGAGTTCCCACAGAAATGTGATATAATGATGGTTATTAGAACATGTAATAGTTATATTGGTATAATGCAGATGGAAATTAAATGGTCAGAATTAGCAGCTCTGTTTCATTCACAAACCAAGAACAAAGCTGTCCGGGGCTCCCTTAGAGAGATTTCACTTTACCTTTTACCAGACAGGAAGTGAGGGGAAATGTGCAACAGGGAAACAGACAACAGGAAACCACTGAAAGGGGTTCTTACCATTCCCCTACTTAATGCCCATGCCTTAGGAGTGGTCACACATGGGCAAATGTGTCACCAAGAGACACACATAAGAGATCTGCTTGTTGTCCAAGTGCACCATTGCTAGCCTCTGTTTTATTCACCAAAGTATACAATCTGGTACCTCCATGCTAAATGGTTTGTTCCATTTTCTCCTTTAAAAGGCTACATACAATGCTTCTCGTAGACGTCCATCTCTCTACATACAACGCTTCTCGTAGACGTCCATCTCTCTACATCTCGTAGACGTCCCTCTCTCTACATACAATGCTTCTCGTAGACGTCCATCTCCCTACATACAACGCTTCTTGTAGACGACCATCTCTCTACATACAATGCTTCTCGTAGACGTCCATCTCTCTACATACAACGCTTCTTGTAGACGTCCATCTCTCTACATACAATGCCTCTCGTAGACGTCCATCTCTCTACATACAACGCTTCTTGTAGACGTCCATCTCCCTACATACAATGCCTCTCGTAGACGTCCCTCTATCTACATACAACGCTTCTCGTAGACGACCATCTCTCTACATACAACGCTTCTTGTAGACGTCCATCTCTCTACATACAATCCTTCTCGTAGACGTCCATCTCTCTACATACAGCGCTTCTCGTAGACGTCCATCTCTCTACATACAACCCTTCTCGTAGACGTCCCTCTATCTACATACAACGCTTCTCGTAGACGACCATCTCTCTACATACAATGCCTCTCGTAGACGACCATCTCTCTACATACAACGCTTCTCGTAGACGTCCATCTCTCTACATCTCGTAGACGTCCCTCTCTCTACATACAATGCTTCTCGTAGACGTCCATCTCCCTACATACAACGCTTCTTGTAGACGACCATCTCTCTACATACAACGCTTCTTTTTTTGCTAAACACTTGTTAATTGCACTAAAACTGAGTTTATACTCTCCACACACATTTTTACCGCTGCAAAAATGCTATTTTCCTGTCTGTCATGCTGACCCATTGCCATCAGTACTTTGGAAGTCAGAGAGCTGAAATAGCTATGGATAGCAGGAAAATCGAAGTCTTTATTGGCATACTTATTCTGGATCAGTCACTCAAAGTAACAAAGTCAGGGTCAGCATAACTGTCAAGCAAGTAGCATTTCAGATGAAGAGATCAGCAAAATAAATGCAGTGTCCACATCTTATAATAGGTTTCCTTTCAGATGAGGCCCTTACAACCTTTGTTTGTAGTTATTGGGAACACACACCCTGGAGTGGAAACTGTGTAATAAGCTTTTATCATCTTAAAGAGACTTTGTACTCTTCACCAGCCTGGGAGACATGAAGGGCAGGTAGAATGCAGCCAACCATGCAAAGACTCAACTCATGCATGAAGCAAACCTGGGAGCAAAGTAAAGATACTAAAGTAACAGAAAAACCAGGTAGAGCAAAAAATCGGTGGGTCAGTAAATACCTCTTACCTTTTCACTTCAGTGCACCTTGCAGCACACCCTGTGCCATCTCTGCCTCCTGATAGGTCATGCCCTTCATTTCCACCCTAGAATGCAATGCCCAGGGTCTACAAAAGACAGGCCTGGGCACTGTCAAATGGTAGGCATGCCTATGTATATACAGAGCTTCAGAATGTCAGTATTCACATCAACAGAGTGCTCCAAGCAGGCTGAAGAAGTGACTAATGCTAGGGGAAGAGGTGTGTACTGACAGCTTATGCCGTTTGCTACCTGGCAGAGCCAATAGTTTAGGATTTGTATTTCCCTTAAAGTATATTGTAATACAGAGAAAACACGTTTGCAGCATTTAGGTAAGCTGCCTGTTCTGATGAGAGCAAGCTGTCCCCTGACAGTCACATCAACAATGCACAGACTGGCTATCCTTATCCATGTCCATGATGGACATAGCTGATAAAAAAAACTTTTATTAAATGCAGATGGAAATAGTTGTCAACGGACAGTTTACACCCGTGCCATGAGACAACAAAAAATGAACACGAAGGGAGAAGAAACCTTTAGCATTCCATATTGCTTGAAAATCATACAAGAGTCCATAGACGGGTACTAAACAGACAGGAACAAAGCACCCTCCGTTTATGAAAATGGGGCGAGCATTGTAGACGCAGCATGTCAACTACTCGAGAGATCAGAGATGCTGGAAATGTCCATGAAAGTGAAATGAACGGTGTCACAACATACAATACAGGCAGCGCTATTGTGGGTTACAGACTCATCCCCGCAGCCTGATCTATTAAGATCTGTCACTTTGCAGTCTACAGACAGACGGGATACAGAGTGGGCAGTACGCTACTCTAGGATCTTTTCATATGCAGCCTGTTTACTCTGAGGTTCTTCCTTTCTGTACACAGCAAATATGTTGCTGTAATATTCCCTCTTCACTCCTAGCACTGTGCTCAGTGTCAAGACCATTTGTATACTGTATTAAGTCTGCCACTGTCCAAGTTATAATTTTCGGGTAGACAATATGTTTGGCAAAGCTACCTTTAAACAGGCAGACTGGGCCAGAGAAAACATGAGTTGATTACCTGATAACTCTGTTTCCAGGAATCTTCCAGGACAGCCATCGAGATATAGGCTCCGCCTGCCTGCAACAGGAAACACATCAACCACATTAAATAAATAGACTCCTCCTTCCATCCCAAGTCAGTAACCTCTAGGACCGAAGGCTACCCCATGCACAAAAGTATCCCCTCCTTCATCCAACCTTGGATGCCACCTGGATACACACCAAGGGCGGGAACTGGCTGTCCTGGAAGATTCCTGGAAACAGAGTTATCAGGTAATCAACTCATGTTTTCCCCAGTCATCTTCCAGGACAGCCATCGAGAGGATCAGTGAGGACAAATCTTACCTCCTAGGGTGGGACCACAGCTTGCAGGACTTTCCTGCCAAATGCCTGGTCTTGTTGAGTCATAAGGTCCAGCCTGTAGTGCCTGACGAACGTCTGGAAGCTGGACCACGTGGCTGCTCTGCAGATCTGTTCTGGAGTAGCCCCTGCTCGCTCTGCCCAGGACGTAGCCCATGCTCGAGTCGAGTGTGCCGCAAGCGAACCTGGCAGCACCAAGCCCTGTGCTTTGTAGGTGTCAGTTATGGCCATTTTAATCCACCTTACAATCGTGCTTATCGCCTTTAGCTCTCTCCAGTTTGACGACCTGAGGCGGCTCCCCTGCTCTCAGGCTGCCTGCCAAATGGACTCCTGGCAGTGAGCACCCCAACCCCAGGCACTGGCATCCGTCTTGACCACAAGTGGTGCTGGCTGAGACCAAAGTCTGCCGACTGGTCCAAATGCATAGTAGGGTAAGGCTCAGCCCTAAGGCAAACAAACATGAGCCCTTAAAATAACAAACATTACGATGTCCCTGTGTAGCCGACGGAAACACAAAAAAACTGACTTGGGATGGAAGGAGGAGTCTATTTATTTAATGTGGTTGATGTGTTTCCTGTTGCAGGCAGGCGGAGCCTATATCTCGATGGCTGTCCTGGAAGATGACTGGGGAAAACCTCTCTGACTTTGAATTTGGCAATTTGTGTTAATGGCCAACTCTGCCTGTTAGAGCAGGTGCCAGGGGCGAGGTTAGGTGCAGTGCCTGTGGCCTGAGCAGGCAGCAAAGACAAATTCTGCTCAGCACTCTGCTTCAGTCTCGAAGCAACATAACCCCACAGGTCCTACTGGCCTATGATACTTGTACTGTGATCCTAGATGCTGCTATGGCTATAGCCTCTGTTTACACAGACTGTTGTCAACCCACTCCCTGTGACCCTGTCTAAACGATGCCTGCCTTTGTATAATCTTAGAGTGAAATTCAAACCTCCATGGTGATAAACTATGTCTTGGATGAGCCCAGCACACACAAACCTATGACAGAAATGGACTTTGTACAACTGTGTGCTCCATCCGGGCTGGTTGAAATTCTCACAGACATCTACCAGCGCGAATATTTGGCAGTGACCAATAGACTGCCATTTGTAAATGGGGAAACCCACAACTGTAGGAAGACTTCAGCCTCTATAGATAGAGCTGGGCAGCTATGGCCCAGGAGGAGGGAGGGCAATATAATTAACAGTAAAAACCGCCCTGTGATCTAAGTGCACCTTACGAGACCAGGCTGCTGGAGATGACCCTGCCCCACATATTCAGATGCCTCCATGCTGGACATACAAACACATGCTGCACTGACGGACATTCCCACTTACTTTCTTTCGGGAGTCCCCTAAATGCGAGTCTAGAGGAAGGGAGAGGAGGATTGGCTCAGCTATAACAGGCATTTTGATTGAACATAAAATGCAAGCACTAGTCCTCTTTAAAGTGGACCAAAAACTATAACCCCCCCCCCCCTTTTTTCTGGACCATCCTGTCCTACTACACTAATACAAAGTAAAAGATTTGCAGATCTACTTACCTTTGCTAAAGAAACCACTGCTCAAGGTTTTTTGGTCATGTGACTTCAGCCATAGTTCTCTTTTAAGGAAAGCATTATATTGTTAACACATAACATGTCAGGAAATCGACCTGTAATGTTACTGATAGGCCCACTTCTTTTACCATCTATTAGCATATGGAAGCAGGATGTGGGAGAGGGTGATATAGCATAGGTCCACTTTATCCTTCATAGCTATTCCTGTAAAAAAAAAATCTAAGCATGCAAAGCAGGCCACTGAAAGCACCCTGGAACCAAAAGATTAAAGAAATAGCACAGGGGACAGAACACAAAATACTGGGGATGAGGATTCCAACAACTGACCTCCAAAAAACTCCAGTTCCCTCAAGCCATCAACCAGGATCCGGTCAGAAACCCAACGCTGGAGGCAAAAATGAATGTGAGGAAGAAAAGGGATACAAAAAGTTACAAAATGATACAGATTAGGAACTGCCAGAACACCATTTATATTGAGATGATGGGATGCTGGGAGTTGAGAAATCTGTCCAATATGGACACAGAAACTAAATGAAATCACATTCGTAGAGTGGAGACGGCTTGACAATGTGTCTATTGCTGTCTGTCACAGTGACACCACATCACGTCTTTCATGGGATCGCAGGGACACATACATTTTATCTTCAGAAAGTTTAATAAATAATACAAATGGTCACATGACATCTCAGTGATGTAATTATACAACCCTGATCATAACATTGTTTTGTCTTGCTTTATATATGATCAGTGTCTTGCGGTGACTTGTGTGTAAAGGGGCCTTGCGAGGTCTTAAAAAGTGCGGGCAACGAATACCAATCACTTTAATACCAGCCACGGCGGCTACACAGCATTACTTTCCTCTGCCCTCTATTTAGCTGGGGTAGAAAAGAATGCCAAGCCTGATGAAAGGACCCTGTGTGGCCCCGAAAGCGCTTGTTCTACTTTGACTGACATGGTTCTGAATAAATTAATACTTGATGATCCTGAAAGGATTTTGGTGTGCTGGTGACATTCTTCACAAGTTTAGTACAACTGTGGCGCCATCCGCAGCCACTACAAGCACCCTTCCCTGAAGATTGAGACATCCAGTATGGACTGTGACAAGACATCCATATATTAAGAAAAGAAGGGAAGCCTTGCATAGGTGCCGAGTCACAACCTGCAACATAAACACAGCTGAGAACTGTCTTATCTCAACCTTTTTTAAGGCCGGCCATACACTTATAGTTTCATTTCTGCTTTCCCTATTCAAGTTTACGGTGCGGATAGGGGAATCCCCCCGTGATACGGTATTCTGACAGCAGTGGGTATGACGCTGTCAGAATACTAAACAGTGACTGCAGCTGACTGGCTCTTTTGACAAAAGGGGGGGGGGGTCCTGAAGGGTCCACACACTGGGAAAAATTCAGACAAGTCAGAGGGATGTGGACAAAATTTGACCAGCGTATGGCCAGATTAAAAGGGGATTTCCCCCATTTTGGAAAGATCTTCCCTCACTTCCTGTTGTGTCTAGAGATAGAAAATACAAAAATAAGAACCTGTAAAGGGGTTTTAACCAACCATTCTGTACTGGATTCAAAACTAAAGAACAAAAAAAAAAAGAAACAGGAAGATGCGTTTAGATATATTTTGATAGCTTGTTCCTGCATGTGTGAACCGCCCTGTACCTAGCTGTATGTCTCACCACTCTCCGACCATTGGTGTGATGACACCTGAGAACCGCTATGGACTTACCGCCAGATGCTCCAGAACGTCATGGATCAGGAAAGAACCAAAAGTTACAAAGGAAAACAATAAATTCTACATCGAGGTCAACTTACAAGAAAAGACATGAGGTCCTCTTTATGTCAAGTGGATGTTCAGATGACATAAACTAGAACCTGCAAAGAAAATTCTGGTCAATTCCCATAGAGCTGTTCATTTATAACAAGCAACACGTCAAGCAGACGGCTGGACACGAAGTTAAAATCATTCATGTTTATTACCCTTCTACCTGTCAGCAGCCAGTGTTATTACCTTCTAGGCAGCATTTCCAATAAAAACCACAAAAAACACACATAAATCCTAGTCTCTCTAACACTTACTACGCAGCTCAGATCCCTCTAAGGCTTCCTGTGCAGTTCAAGTCCCTCTGATGGGGAAATGGACCTCCTACCTAGCAGCACAATACAACAACTTTATACTTACAATGCTGCCACCACACAGTCTCTCTGCTGCAGGCCAACCCACCCTTTCCCAGGGATTGAGACCTGTGATTTTTACAGTGAAGAAGTAGCACAGCTCATCCCGGTGCTCTCTCCTCCTCTCACCCCCAATTGGCTCAGAGTGCTGCCACTTCCTCTCCCATTCTGAAAGCTGCTGTGTGACAGGAGGTTGCTAAGACAACAGATTTGGGTACATATGACTTAATAAATACAGAAGAGCAATCATTTAAAAAAAAAAAAATATCAAGCGTCAAATATTAATTTCACAACAAAATGACTATATGTGATGGGGTATTTATTTTTTAGAACATATCGGTTACTAGATAAAATAAACATATCAAATAGGTTCTGCGGTATTCATGGACAGACATGAAAATACAAAATGCAGTGAGCAGGGGGAGCCTGACTGGGTGCAAGCAGGCGTGACATAATGACAAAACTCCTGTCATGATAACACATAGGGCCCCCCATTGATCTGTCACCACCATGACTACAAGCAGGACCCCCATTGATCTGTCACCGCTATGACTACAAGCAGGACCCCCATTGATCTGTCACCACTATGACCCCCCCAATGATCTGCTCTCATTATGCCGACACACAGGACCCCCACTCATCACCATGACTCTAGATGGGGACCCCCATTGATCTGTCATCACCATGACTACACACAGGACCCCTCCCTGTCTAATATTATACCACCCTCCAATAATACCAATCATGGAGGAAGTACCGTGGAGACTTTACCATTCTCCAATGATATCTTCCAAAAGGCAGGGCAGGGGCAGTACCGAGTAGACTTCTGCACACAGAACCCGGCCTTCTCTGTACTATACCAGCCTCCCAGGGATAATTACACCAAGCATGGAGCTCGTCCGCCCATGTAAAAAGAAAGGAGTACTGAAAAGACCACTCTGTATACGCAGGACAACCCCTCCTCCCTCCTGAAACGCTGGGACTTCTAGTCCCCACAGACAGGAGCTATTTACACACATACACACCCCTCTCACTGAACGCCTGCCCGGCTCTCCGCTGCTTCCGTTCTACCCCGGAAATGACCCGGCTTGGCGGAGATTGCCTTTGCGTCACTTCCGGTGAGGCCTGTAAGTCACCAGGAGAGTGTGGAGGAGAGCTGAGGAGCTTCTGCTGCTGCGGGTAACATGACGGACAATAGGAGGGAGGGGGGTACGGCGGGTATCCCGGGCTTATATATAAGACTTGTGAACTTATTATATACTCTCTATGTTTATACAGTATATGTATACTCCTATATACAATGTATGTGTACTTCTTTATGTATATACAGTATATGTATACTCCTATATACAATGTATGTATACTCCTATGTATATACAGTGTATGTATACTCCTCTATGTGTATATACAGTGTATGTATACTCTATGTATATACAGTATATGTATACTCCTATATACAATGTATGTATACTCCTCTATGTATATACAGTCTATGTATACTCCTATGTATATACTGTATATGTGGAGGTTGTACAAAGTGAATGGAGTACATTGCATTGTACCGGGCACACCATGCGCTGTAATAATATTGCCAGTATGGAGACGGACATTATTGTCCATGTCTCCTTTGGGAGATTTCCCTCCTGATACTGATACATGGAGGTGTACGCTGTCTGTAGGATCACTGATCCATGGCGGTGTACGCTGTCTGTAGGATCACTGATACATGGAGGTGTACGCCGTCTGTAGGATCACTGATACATGGAGGTGTACGCCGTCTGTAGGATCACTGATACATGGAGGTGTACGCTGTCTGTAGGATCACTGATCCATGGCGGTGTACGCTGTCTGTAGGATCACTGATTCATGGCGGTGTCTGTCTGTAGGATCACTGATTCATGGCGGTGTACGCTGTCTGTAGGATCACTGATTCATGGCGGTGTACGCTGTCTGTAGGATCACTGATTCATGGCGGTGTACGCTGTCTGTAGGATCACTGATACATGGCGGTGTACGCTGTCTGTAGGATCACTGATACATGGCGGTGTACGCTGTCTGTAGGATCACTGATACATGGGCGTGTACTACAGCATTGCTGATCCTAGTAGGCAAGGTATTGCACTGTTTTGTAATTGCATGTGGAAAGCTTGATAGCATCATACACTGTTTTTGGGGATGTTGACGTTCTATGTACTGACTTTGTACATCCTATGAACCAAATACATCAATGTATATATTCGGTGACACTAAGTCTATAGCTATTCTTACAATAAGACTGTATACATTATGTATGTGCTATTTTACTGGTGTAATTATGTGATGGTATACCTTGTATGTGCCTGATTCCCACTGTCATAGTTCCAAATACCTGCTGAAAAAGAAGTCTGACATTAGTATTCCATTCAGTCCCATGCTGGTACACAGCCTGCAGTGCGTCTCTGGTGAAAGGTGGCTTTCTGTCCCTGTTAGACTGAACCCTGAGATGTTTGGGTGTTGGGGTTTTCCCTAGGTGGAGGGTGCTCCTGATAGACTGAACCCTGAGATGTTTGGGTGTTGGGGTTTTCCCTAGATGGAGGGTGCTCCTGATAGACTGAACCCTGAGATGTTTGGGTGTTGGGGTTTTCCCTAGGCGGAGGGTGCTCCTGATTGACTGAACCACCAAAAGTTTGGGTTTAGGGTTTTCCCTCGGTGGTGGGTGCTCCTGATTGACTGAACCCCGAGATGTCTGGGCTTAGGGTTTTCCCTAGGTGGAGGGTGCTTCTGATTGAACCCCCAAAAGTTTGGGTTTAGGGTTTTCCCTCGGTGGAGGGTGCTCCTGATTGACTGAACACCGAGATGTCTGGGCTTAGGGTTTTCCCTAGGTGGAGGGTGCTTCTGATAGATTGAACCCTGAGATGTCCGGGTTTTCCCTAGGCGGATGGTGCTCCTGATTGACTGAACTCTGAGATGTCTGGGTTTTCCCTAGGCGGAGGGTGCTCCTGATTGACTGAACCCTGAGATGTCAGGGTTTTCCCTAGGCAGAGGGTGCTCCTGATAGACTGAACCCTGAGATGTCTGGGCTTAAGATTTTCCCTAGGTGGAGGGTGCTTCTGATAGATTGAACCCTGAGATGTCTGGGTTTTCCCTAGGCGGAGGGTGCTCCTGATTGACCGAACCCTGAGATGTCTGGGTTTTCCCTAGGCAGAGGGTGCTCCTGATAGACTGAACCCTGAGATGTCTGGGCTTAAGATTTTCCCTAGGTGGAGGGTGCTCCTGATAGACTGAACCCTGAGATGTCTGGGCTTAAGATTTTCCCTAGGTGGAGGGGTGCTCCTGATAGACTGAACCCCGGGATGTCTGGATTTGACCTTATCCAACACACTTACGTGCATCTTTATTCCATTTGGATGTTCTCATAGGGCACAAAGGGTCAGAGCAGCACAGCCTTCCTGTTAATGTTTGATGGAGTTTTCTGTGCACATCAGGAAGTTTATCCCTTTTGCACCATTGACTTTTTTTCTGAAAAATAAAGCGTAAAGTTGGGTATACACTGTTACATTTTCTTTTGCTCAGCGTTAGGAAAATTCTAACAGATTCCCCCGAATATATATAAACAGTATGGATGGAGGAATCTCCAGCGGTGGCGTTTGTATTCTGACATCCACCCTTTTCCCTGTTAAACCCATCCTTTCGGAAGGATCTAGTATTTTCATAGGCATCCCAAATGACTTCTATTCTTACACAACAATGGTTATACAGTCTGTTTGAACATTTTGCACAGTCTGATTCAAAACAATGGCGCTGGTGGTAAATGGTTATTGTAGAGAGTTATAATTGGGTTCAGGAGTCCTAGGGAGGAGTGTTATGCAGGGCACAATGAGCCAGGAAGGGATTACCTCTTAAGGAGATTACCTGAAATATTTCACTGTCTGAGCTCGGTTAGGTTACCGTTGTCATTAAAGGACCATATTTAATAAATTCATAAGATGAGTTTCTCCCAGCCTAGGCCATAGGGGGAATACAGTCGAACACACAGGTTAGTGTGACGCTGCGTGTAAGCCAAAAGGGTTTTGCTCACTCTCTTCCTCTCTATGTACTGCCAGACAAGAGTCGGTTTACCCGAGAGGAGTCCGATGATGTCTTTTCACATCCAACCACCCTCAAGTCTGTGTCCAGTCTAAATAGGAAACGATTGGGTGATGGTCTCATGTCTGTGGGCTAGACGCCCTAGCTGACAGATCTCAGGGGAATGGTAATTGATTGAAAATGAATGGTGTTCTCTTGTTGATTGGTCAGCAGTGGTATGTTATACATGGGTGACCTGAGTGGTTTTTCTGTCATTCAGCCCATGTGTGGGTAACTTTAGGTTATGACTTCACATCCATTGTCTGTTGCCTGCCTAAGGCTGACAATACTCTGCATATTAGAGCAAGATACATAATAGATTCTGTACTGCATGCAACAGACAGGAATAAAATGGGGTGACTACGATCAGTATGCACAATGAAAGGACTTCGTATAGGTTATCTGTCATGCTGGGAAGGATGCATGCATCCCACTACAACTTGCATCCTTTTCTGTGACAGAAAGGTATCCAACCTCTTGCAGGATATGTATGGTCAGCCATGTCGGGAGGGGGTACAATAGCACTATCGGCACCAGGATCTCTATGGTTATTTCACACATTTATCTACAAAGAAAGTTGTTACTTATTACAAAAAATCCCAATGTACCTTTTTATATTTCTTTTTTTTGTAGTATGTATTCGGCCAAGATGTTGTCCCGCCTGTTGGCGGCTGTCCTCTTTCTGCTGCTGGTGACCGCCTCCAGCGCCAAGTTCCAGGAGTTTGACGACGGCGACGATGTGACTGAATACGATGACAACGATTTTGCTGAGTTTGAGGATGCTCCGGAGGAGACAGCCACCCCTCACCCTCCTAAGCAGAGCCCAGGAAGAGCCCTGGAGGAAGAAGAGGAAGAGGAGGAGGAGGACGATGAAGAGGCCACGGTAGAAGTGGAGGGGCAGGAAGAATTTGAACTGGACGCAGAGGGACAAGTAAGATGTTTTATGGCTTCATCGGGGCAGAATGGCTATTCTGGAAACCTAGGGATGCACCGATACTAGTATCAGTGCTGATGCCAAGTATTTGGGCGAGTACTGGTACTCGCCCAAATGCTCTGATGCCTAGCCTGATACTTGGGCTATCCGCGAACATCGGAATGAGAGCAATAGTTCTAGGGCCATCAATCACTGATAACACTAAACTGATGAGCTGTAAAAGCTTTTAAAGCATCTCCTATGACCAATTTTGGGTATGCTAGTTTTTTGCGATTTCGCGGGTGCGCACAATTTTTAAGCTTGACATGTTTGGTGTCTATTTACCTGACGTGACCCCGTCTTTTATATTTTACCAAAAAAGTGGGTAATATTAGTTGTTTTATAACATAGCCATAGTGGTGATTAAATACCACCAAAAGAAAGCTCTATCCGTCCCCAAAAAATGGTATAAAATTAATTTCAGTACAGCGCTGCAAGACGGAATATATGTCAAAGTACCGCAGCGCTGAATACTGAAAAATGGCCTGGCCAGGAAGGGGGGTCTAAACACCTGGTCTTCAAGCGGTTAATGGGACATTCTGTATCGGCGAGTACAGGGAAAAAAATATTGGTACTAGATACCGAAAATCCGGTATCGGTGCATCCCTACTAGAAAGAAAACCTGTCACCTACGCAGAACAGGCAGCTATTGTGTACACTGAACCTAGACTTGTGTCTCAACAATGTAACTGGATGTACTAAAACAATGGCTTGTATGATCCACAAAATGACGGCAGGATTTGTAGGTCAGATGTACATATAGGCGGCTACACAATTGAATCATTCTAGGCTTATCTTAACAATCTATAGCTGTTTAATGTCGGAATCCACTTATCCTTATTATGCTGCTTCTTTACCCCTTTAATGTCATACAATAATCTGGTTTATTTAAAATTGCTCCTCCATAAGGTAGCCGATAAACCTATGCTGTCATTTTTAGCTCTACTTTGGGTACTGGAAGGGAACTGCTGGGTGTGCAGGCACATGT